TTCCTTTAAGATGGCGGCTCTGTTGACAGCTGCTGATACAGCATAGTCTCAGTACGGTTTCCCTGCCTCAGACTCCTGAAAGTAGCCATTCCTACGGCCCCAGAGCTTTTCAGGCTTTTTTTTTAAAAAATCAGCAATTGAATATCTTATAGCATTATAAACTCTCTGTATCAGATTCTTTGAACCCCCAGCTTTCATTTAAAAAAAAAAAAAGTCTCTAGCTCCTTTGTTGTGAAGATATGCCTGTCTCCTTATATCTCGACAACAGAAAGCACTGAAGACTCCACCTCCCAAAAAAGCTAGGAATTTGGAGAATCTGATACACAATTGTTATATCTTTACATTGTTAAATTGGAAGGGGCTGTGGTTCAGTGGAAAAGCCTCCACGTTGCATGCAGAAGGTCCCAGGTTCAGTTCCCAGCATCTCCTGTTAAAAGCACTGGTTAGTAGGGGATGCGAAAGACCTCTTCCTGAGATCCTGGAGAGCCACTACCAGTCTGAGTAGACAATACTGACCTTGATGGACCAGTGCTTGATTCAGTATAAGGCAGCTTCAGGTGTGTACACTGATATTCAGTTGCTGATTACAAAACAAAAGAGCCCTGGAGGCAATTACTGCAGCAAGGGCAGGGGCAGAGAAAGCGGCTATCCTTTAGGTAGGACTGGACAAATCCAAACTTCTCTACCTACATGGCAGCAACACAGGTTTTGCTGCTGTCTTTTCCCAAACTTCAGAGCAATGCAGGTTGGGATAAGACTTGAGAAAAGCTGAAGAAATGCTGGGAGGTGCACAATGTACCATAATGCCATGGGGAAACAGGAGACCCCTTCTATTCTGAACTGCATTGAATCTGAGACAAATAACCCATGTGGGAAATGGCCAACGTTCTTATTTCCCAGGCACCTGGGCCACAATAGAATCTCTTAAGAGTGCAACCCTCAACAGAGTTACCCCCTTCTAAAAACATTGACTTCAGTGGACTTCGAAGGTGGTCACTCTGTTTAGGATTGCACTGTAAATGTGCTTAAGCCCCAGTGGCTTTATTTCTCAAGATTCAATTTAACCAGACTTTATTGCCATAGCGAAAGTCTATTGCATAACAGATTAATGTCTTCAGTAAAAATCAAGATAATAAAATATAGAAACCATGTACATGTATCCATATTAGTCAGACACATTACCTACATTACAGCTCCAAGATATATTTTTGTTTTCATCGGACAGCAGATACATAATTATATCCTGTGATGACCAAGCAGTCTATTGAGAAAGGTGGAATGACAAAATTTTCCTTCTTGTGGAATCACACAGTGAGCTACACAACAAGGATTCGGTTTTCAGCACAACCACTTTGACATATGCATTCCACAGTCCATCTTTAATAGGGATACACTCGTATCTGCCCCCAAATATGTATTTGTTAGGGTACTGGCTGGCTTCACACCAAACAATCAAACTGCTTTATTTTTTTTACTTGATTATCTACTCTGAAGCCAATTAATTGATACAAATGAAATAACTGCATTAAAAACTCAAGGTATGTGGCTTTCTGAGACACTGAAGGAAGCATAGGTCCCTTTAACAAAGAAAGAATACTATTCATTGTTAAAAGGAAAGGCCAACTGTAAATTTTTGAGCTCTGTAATACAGACACACTCCACAACCAAAACAGCCTGTCCTGCACTCCACACAGATCCCTGTGCTCCCTTCAATCTCAGTCAATCAGTTAGTATTGACTTTCAATAATTCCCAAAGCTGTTTAGTGCAATCCTATTTCTATTTAATGGAACACAAACTACTGAGCTCAATAGTGCTTGTTCCCAAGTGAGTGAGTATTGGATTGCAGATTTAGTTGATTGATCTACCAGTTAAACCCATTCCAAGTCTGCAGCTCTTCTGTAAAGATTGAGTATATTTCACTTCCTTCCTTCAAGACAAGGGTAACTTTTTACGTAGTTCTTGGGGGTGGGGGGGGAGAGAGAGACCCTTTCTGTACTCTCTTTTAATCCATGTTCACCACGGTGTCCTTCAAGCAATTCTGTATGAAAATTAAATTCAACCTTCTCCTTCTTTTTAAACCAGGCCCCCCCCCCCGCATTCTGCACTCAAATCAAGTTCTTTGTTCTTTTTACTCTGGTCCCTCCCCCATTCTGCATTACGTTATCTCCCTTCAGTGGTCAGCCCGGTTTCAGCCTGCTGTTGCCCTGGGTTATTTGGATGCTGTTTTGCCGTAGACTTAGGTCCTTTCTACATTTACCTGCTACTCCAGATTTTCTCAGTGTTCAAATTGAGGCAATTTAAGTTCATGGCAAAATGGCATCCTCCAAATAACCCGGGGCAACAGCAGGCTGAAACCAAGATGACCACTGAAGTGAGGTAATGTAATGCAGAATGGGAGGGGGGGAACGGGAATAAAAAGAAGGTTGAACACGATTTGAGTTCAGATTGGGGGGGGGACTGGATTAAAAAGAAGGTTGAATTCGATTTTAGGGCAGAATTCCTTTGAGGACACCGCAGTGAACATGGATTAGAAGGAGATGCAGAAAATTGCCTTGACTTGAACAATGAGAAAATCCGGAATGGCAGGCAAATGTGGAATGGACTAGTGCGCGCGCGCACAATTGCACTGCCATCTGTATCTTTGAACTGCAAGCAAGCTTTCACCTTTTTTCTTCCGAAAACCAAACGATACTATTTAGCTGCCAACAGATGCACACACACATTTTCTGAAATAAAACACTTCTTTTAATTGGCAAGTAGAACACACATTGCAGGTCATTAGTATTTAATTAAAAGACTATTAAGTTACAAATACATTTTTTTAAAAAAACAACAACAACAAAACCTGGCATTTAGAGGGCAATTCATGGCACATAGTTCTTTCCCAGCCTTCCTGCTGGCAACTGACAGGATACAATTTCTTGTCTTGTAGTTCTGTAACATAATGCATGGCTAAGAAACGAGAAATATGTAACATTGCTAAAAAACAGAGGTTGGGGGGAAAGAGAGAGAGAGCCTTGTTTATTTAAATAGGATTTGAGTGTTGTGGGTCTGGATTTAGTTTCAGTGTTTCTGTAATGCTCCAAATGCCTGAAGGACACTGAAGGTTTGTTTGGAAACGTGGTTAGGTAAAAAGGATGGAATCTTCACATAAAGCTGAAAGGTCAATTTATTATGGTCCAAAAATATCCCCCCCCCAAACCCCCATCACTTCAATTACATTACTTAGGCTTCTATCAAAGCCCAACATGCATTGCAGCAGACCTTTGAAGAGAGGTAATGACACACAGCTAAATTGCAAATATATGCATGTGTGTGTATATGCATCTGTACACACATACACACACACACACACATATATAAACATCACGTACACATATATCTTTACTTCCTCTCCTTAGCAATATCTACTGGTAATTATGAGGTACATAACTAATTCCACATTATCTAATGTATTAACAAGTTACAACTGTGTGTTAATGCTATTTTTTTTAAAAAAGAAACATCTATATTTTCAAAACTTTTTTTTGTAGAAAGTATAAATCTCATCCCCCCAAAAAACAAACAAACAAACAAATAGAGCTAGGAGAATATGAACTTCAGTTCTGAACACCACGTAATACAAAAAGCCTTCACAACTTTCCGCTCAGGGTGCTGAAAGCTTCTCACATTGACAGACCTTCTTCCTCAGGTACATCCCCCAGATAGTTGAAGTAGCACTAGTTCCTAATTAGAACAAGTGTCTCTGAAAGTGTCCCTTTTTACAGCAGTATGGACCTTGGTTGTGAACAAGATGTGGTCTTCCTACACACATACTGCTTCTGCGTCAGGTGTGCAAGCCGTGCATAAAGAAACATCATGTGATAATCCCTTTCTCTGTCTGAAATGCATCGGTGTCTAGGTCGCAGCAGTCCAAAGGGTATTATGAGAAGATACAGCAGTTTCTAGCTTTTCACATTTCCCCTGAGAAAGAACTTGCTGAGGTTCAGAACACTTTGGGACTACAGTGCTAGACAGTAAATCCATTTCTACCTCCTGGTGTTACCGCTACGCTCTACCGTCTGCACACAGTCAAGCAGGAGCACATGCAGGAATACCAAACTGCATGTGATCTGAAATACCCCCCCCCCCAAGTATTACAGATGCTGGAAATGTGTTGGAAGTGATCCTTTACAATGGGAGAAAAATACAGTCACTCAGATACCCAAGCGAAGCTTTCTGTGAAAAGTCCCTCAGAGCAGTCCTGTATTATTTACACTTTTGACTATTTGCTTTAGTTTGTATTTTTTAACTTTATGGCACCGCTTATACCAAAAATAGAAAATTGCCTTGGTGGAAACAACTCTGTCTCAAAAAATATCAAGGAGTACCATTAAAAAGTTAGGTTTCTCATAAAAAGCCAACCCCTAAACAAACATTATGCTGCTGAGACCAAAATGCCCCGTTCTTTGCCCAGTCTATGCTAATGCAAGCTACAGTGTTAGGAGACTGCCTAAAAGGGGCTTCTCTCTACTTTTGTTTTAAACTTTGCCATTAAAAAGGGGGGGGGATGTGCTGCAAAGCCTTCTTTAACTGCTGTGAGGCATAGCACAAAAACTGGTCAACAACCAATAACAAGAAGTTTAGAAAATGCTCTCAACAACTTTAGTTGGCTTTCAGTTATGTAAAGGAACTGTGGAAGTCGTCCATATGAAGCCCACACGCCTTGATCATTGAACTGATCACTAGATTCCAAGAAAACATAGCAATGTTTTAAAATTCACACACACACAAACACAATGCAATACAACCAATGAAAACCACCTAGAAGGCAGAGTTTCTCCATCTGTTTACACCAGATGAATTAAAGTGCATAGCAGCTACTTTAACAGTTCTTAGAGAGAGAAAACATTCAGCAAGCCTCAGCAAGCTTGATGCTTGTTATGTACATCTTGCTACAGACGGCTTCCTTTTTCTTGTTCTTCTTCTAATCCAGCCTATCAGCAATTTTGTTGAAATTTCAAATGGAATGTGCTGAAATTTCTGACTGCTGCCTGATGTAACTCTGGAAGCTCTTGTCTCCAATGGGATGTTCTCTACAAAACAAGGAATAAAGAAGAGGGGGGCATGTCAATTACACATTTTGCAGAGCAGGAGAAAATCTAAGGCATAAAGAAGGAAACCTTTTCTAATTTTTTCCTTCTAGGAGAAAGCCCCGGCATGACTGAAGTTAATGGAAATCAAGGAAGCCCAATAAGAATTTGGGTAGCCTGGAAAGCCAAGGCGGCAGCCAACTTTAGGTTCCAAAAGAGCAAGAAAGGGGGCTTGGCAAGCCATCCTCAAATATTCCGGATGAAGTTTTAGCAAGGCTCAAAAACAAGGTAATGGCAAGTTGGAAGTATTTGTGTCCTATGAGCTTCACACAGAAATGCTTCTTTACATTTACATTACATAAATGTAGTAAAATTTGAGAACGCAGAAAAGACAAGCTTAGTAAAATAGATAATGAATTTAGAAATTTAATAAGCAGAAGGAGTGAGAAATGTCTCTTGATATATGTTATGTGTTGTAGGAGGTAGTTATGTGTTGTTTGTACGTATGTTTGTAGTGTATAAGGAAAAAAAATAATAAAAGTGTACTCTTGGGTACTAAAAAAGAAGAAGAAATGCTTCTTTACACAAAGACAAAGACTTCCGGCAGGAAGAAGTTTATATGGGTGCAGGGAAAGGCAGTGATCAACCTTGCAATGAAGGGGGGGCTCCTGGTGATGGCACTGAAATCCAGAATTTCCCATTTTGGTATATCTTTCACATTTCCCCCCTTGCCCTTTCTCCAATGATCTGTTTATAGAATTCCCATGCTGCATTTAAGTGTTTGCTATAAACCATTCCAAGTTCAGAAAAGTCTCATGTATGCAATCCTATAAGAAATCCTTGATGAACAGCAAATCTCATGGGATACCAATGAATCTTCCACAGTTTTTTTTAAAAAAATTATACCTGCAGGAACCTGTTCACTAGTCCAACTTCCTCAGTCACGAGGAATCAGATCCTAGCTGCGTTGCGTGCATAAAGCCAGGAATCACAATCCCTCACTGTGCCCTTCGGCTGATGACTGTCCATCTCTGGACGAAGCAATCTTTGGTGGTGCGGGGGAATGAGACTGTATTTTTCTATGGAGTGGGATGCTCGTGTCTGAACTTTTGCACCCTTGTACACCATGCTGAGGATGTGTTCGGGTCATGCCCTCATTTTAAAGGAGCCAATTTCCATTTCCTGAGTCTTCTCATCTGGGCAGATGTATTTATTTGGTCATTGTTTCAGAGCCAGCACTGAAGTCTCATAATGGGATTTCAAATGCAAGTGTTGTGGGGCAAAGGGGAACTGATTTGGCAGAAATGCTGCTGCTCTGTTTGATAACCGAAAACCAGCAAGCACTGCCTGCTTCCCACACCATTTTAAAACAAACCATTATTCCTAACAAAGAAGCTAAAGAAACATATGCAAGCCAGATGGGACAGGATGTATGCCCAGGCCCGTAGCTATGGTGGGGATTTTGGGGGCGCTGCCCCCTTTCTTAAAGGTGCAGCCCCACAATAATTTCTCCTGTGGATTCTTTTTTCAATCATTTAAAACATTTTTAAAAGGCATGTACTCCTTTAAGCAGAGTGGGGTGCTGTAGCTAATTCCTGCACTGAGCAAGGGGGTTGGAGTAGGTGACCTCTAGGATCCCTTCTGACTCTGTGTCAAGAAACTGGTCTCCGTTATGAGAGTTTTTCTGCCTAAGGGTTAGCTTTCTTGACTGTAGAAGTCATCGCCCCACCTGCCGGCTTGTTATCAGAATTGTTGCTTAGGCTGGCAGAAGTGATTAACTTGCAGCAGCTGAGAACTGTCATCTAAAGAGGTTAACAGCTTGCCATTTACAGAGCTATCATGGCAACAGCTTTCTGTTGGCTAAATGGCTTTTCTTTCTGCACTGAGAACTTCAGCCTCAACAGAAAAAAAAATTGCCCCACAAGCCACAAAATCCTGGCTACAGGCCTGTGTATGAGCTGACAGAGATCTACTGGAGCTGATGAAAAGAGAAAGAACTGTACATGAGGTTTCCTCTAAAGGAAGTTTGTAACTGCTGAGACCATTTAATCAGGGAACAAGAAGTCCTATCATTAAGCAAAACAAGGCAGAGGACGAGTGAACCTGCTTGTGGCTCAGGAGATCGACAACGGCTCAGTGAGCAAGTCTTCAGCCCAGGTACTGGAAGGTCCCTGGTTTGGGATGTATAAGGGTTGGCGGACCTGAGACAGCCGTTCTAACCACACAAAGAAGCAAAATTCTGTAACTGGATGTGTTGTACGATAAGCAGTGTCAATGACCCCAAACTTCTTCAGAGGGTGGTTAAAATGATCTCTTCACAAGATTAGAACCACCACACAACAATGCTATCCTCTGCACCTTCTAGGCACAGAGCAACTCCATGCAAGCCGGATCACAAGAGAACTGGTGTATGCCAGAATAGTATCTGCATAACAAAACTGTTCACGGTAACTGCACAAAAAGCAAGCCAAACCTGAACCCCCTTCTCAGTGTTTTGGAAGACAAGAACCCCATGGCAATCCAGTGCTACTGGGTCAGGATGCTCTTGTGCAAACCACACTTACTGGCTCCCATATTTTGTCTTCTTGAACTTATCCCTCTTGTATTGGGCATGTTCCTGCTCTAAGGTTTTAACACTTGCGACAATCTGTTTTAGTGTCTTGTAGGTCTCTTGAGGGTCATCGATGAGAAAGGTCGAGTACTCTTCCTGTTCTGGCCCATCATATACAGATTTGCTGCCACAAGCCTCTGCCAGAAAGAAGATGGGGGAAATGAGACATTTGTCTAACGCACACACACGAAAGATTAAAAACAAAGCATCTAGGCAGAACCGATATCCAGATAATAGCACGTCCATCTCTACTCATCAGGAGCAAGAGGTTATATACCAGGGAAAATATACACAAAGAAGAGTCGAGCAGGATCAGGCCAAGCGTCTATCAAGCCAGGCATCCTGGTTTTCAATAATGATCAGTCAAATGACTCTGAAAGCTGGGGCCTTTTTTGGAAAAAGAGGTGCCGGAATTCTCAAGAGGGAAATGAAGTTTTCAATCTGTATACTGAAAATGCATGAACTTTTACACATTTTTAAAAGAATTTTGTCGAAGAGGTTCCGGAACTCCGTTCTGGCACATTCCCCCAGAAAAAAAGACCTGCTGACAGCTCAGAGCTAGAGCATAAAGGTAATATCCCTTCTCCAGTTTGTTTCCTAGCATTTAGTTTACCTTCGCTCCACTACCATGGTTAGCAGCCATTGATGGACTTACCTTCTGCAAACTTGTCTAATCACCTTTTTAAAGCCATCTAAAACATGGGCTGCTTCCACACGGGGGCTCAAAAATGCACCTTCTGCTTGGAAGCACAGAGAGGGTGCAGATGGGGTCACCACGCCCCTGTCCCCGCTGTGTTCGCTTTTGCTGCAGCTGTACCCCAAAGCCTCTCTCCTTCTCTGCATCATGTCCATGCAAAAGCAACGACAATCATGCAGGGCCTCCTTGCAACCCAGCACCCCACCCTTTCTTCTTCCTTGCCCAGATGAGCAACAGTTTAAAACTATTCTGTTGCTTAATTCTGGGGTGGGGTGGGGACAATAATAGGCTAAAAGGAAATATGGAGTGGCAATCGGCCTTTCTTCATATTGACTGTAGGCAAAGCATCCACATAGACAGTCTGCCCACAGTCACCCAGCAGTTTCCCCAGTGAGCCAGGGAGACGGTCTAAAGGTACTTTGAGCTTTTGCATGCATATGCTGTGGATTAGTCTGAGGAAGGAACAGCTTCCTTCTGCTATCTATTCTGTTGGAGCTTTTGTTTTTTACTTTGCACGTTCATCTATGCTTGATTAAACGTAGGCGACTGCATCTTTTCATTAGCAAAAAGTTTTTTCTTATTCAAAGCCAAGGACGATAAGGGCAAAGGGGATGGGCAGTTCGGAAACAGCAAGAGGGGTCATAGGTTTGCAATTACACAGGGTTAAGTTTAAATATATCTAACACCATTGGCTTACTTCCTATGAAGTTATATTTATAGTTTTAGCTTAAGATACCCTGACTCTCCCCTGTGCTAAAGCAGAATCTGAGGTCTGGCAAACTGGCAGTTCAAAATAGTTTGCAAGCATGCCAAGAAATGCAGTGATCATATGATGTTCCTCCCCTCCTTCTACATTCATTGAATATATTTGTCCCGACACTCAGATTTCATTGATGAATCTGAAAGCAATCGTCTTTTAGGACCTAAAATGATGAATGAGATATCTGCATGTGCCAGCAGTTAAAAGTTGCCTGTACGTTGGCAATCTGAATGATGAACTGATCAGTCACTTCCTAAATGTATTGTTCCCTTCAAGATTCACTTCCGCTTGCTAATTCTGAAGAAATGACTTGCAACATAGACATCTAAACTTCTCCGTGATTTTGTTTCAAAATAATTATTTAAAATCTAGAGGATGTAATTATGCATGAAACTAAGCATATTGTCATTTATATATGAAAGATATTTACAGGTATAATTTCAGATTCTCAGGAGCAAGACATTATTTAAAATAGGAGTTTTAAAATGAGGCAGCTAAAGAAAAGAGTGACCAGTTAGCACACTTACCTTCCATTTTCTCCAGTTTAGACATATACAAAATAAAAAGGGAGTAGATGCGTTCAGTTTCTCTATCTCCATCTATGTCTAATTGTATATTTGCTGGTAGGCCCCTACAAAAACATTTAGGAAAATGTTAAACTATGAATTTTTACTATATTTTTTGTTGTTGTGGTACAATTGGACCTTTGGCTTGCAGAGCGACAGCAATATTACAAAGCTAAACAATATTATGAAAATTTAGTCTATTTAAAATATATATCAAGTTTTGTTAAAGGTGATGATTACCTTATAGCCTAATATTTTCTCTTTTTGAAAAACTGGAAGAGTGATTCCCTGCCCCATGCCAAATGCTCTAAATTGTGGAAAGTAACACTGGCTTCCTAGTTTGTGGCTCAGCAAAGAGTGCCATAAAGATTTAGTTCAACACAAAGATGCAGTTTGTTCTTTTTCTTACTTTCTTAATACACAATTAATCTGGCAGCTCAGGTATGGGGGAACACAATGTCTCCTTAGAAAGGCATATGCAGGAGATAAATGGGTAGATGCTATGTGCTTTAACTCTTCTGTTTTTTGAGAGGGTCAAACATCAGCTCTCATTAGTCTACTTGTGTTACCTTAATGCACAACATATACTGTCATGCAAATGCTACAATTAACAGAAATGTCAACATCAACTGGTAGTGTAACTCCTACATAAGTATGATCCTTGTTCATAGGATTGAGACTATGGTACGGTTTTTTTCAGCACATGCTTGTGATCATTATGTGTTGAGATGGAAAAGGAGCCATGCCCTTTTCAGGCAGTTGCCCATTGTGGTGTGCCAGAAAGTTCCTGTTTTGCAATGTATTAAAATTCAAGGGAACCATTTTAAGCTGATGGATAGGACTTTCCCAACAACAGAAGGTCTCTCACCCATCTTGTGATATTACTATTCTCCACCTATATGCCTGAAGGACATTTGCCCTTCTCCCTTTAAGAGATGGAAACTATGGAAAGAAAGAAAGAATTCCAAAACTGAGAAATACATATAATATAAGGTGCAAGCTGCAAAGCTGCATTTCTACTGCCAGTAAAGTGTTAAAGGAATGAATAATTTACCTTCAGTCAGAAAATGGCTAGAGTTTTTACTGGGTATTTTTTCTTTGTAGTTCAGGTTTGAATCATCAGTAAAATGGGTTAATTTGATTAACCCATTAACCCTGCATAAACTTATATCTGCATAAAGCACTAGTGCTGAATGGAAAACAGAGTCGTTTCTCGGTTATGGGGTGCTTCATGCAGTGTCAGGGCAAGCACCACCCTGAAAAAAGTTATCCTGCTGAGATGGGAGGGGGGGAGAGAAATGCCTCTTCCAATATAGCACCTGCTGTGTTCAGGGTTTTTTTAGGGGGGGATAGTATAGTAATAATGAATAATTATCGTATGGCATTGTGTGTGATATAGCCAGGAGATCCTGAGATTGTCTGGCAGCCTGAAGTTCTAGCTCTTTTAGTGTTATGCACCACTAGGTGGCGAGCTAGACTTATTTTTTGGGCTGACAGAGCCCTGAAAGAGCTGTAACTAACCCAAGGTGACCCAGCTGGCTTCAAGTGGAGGAGTGCATAGTATAGTATTAAAAAGGAGAGATTGAATGCTGTTGACCGAACAACTGAGCCCATGTTTTAGTTAATCACAGAAGGCTTCTAATAGATTAATCCTACAGATTAATTGAAGCTCTAATGGTGCTTTAGCAAGAATAAGACTTCTAAGACTGACTTGTACTGTAAAAGCCTACATAAACTAAGCTGGTTTGCAGCTGTTTCAAGGAAAACCAGAATAAGGAAACAGCTAAGTAGCATTTTAATGCATATCAACACGGGCTTGCCTTCCCATCACTTAGCACTGGTTCACAGACTTTTAACGATCTGAAGGCTACACATTTCATCACCAGTATGCTTCAAGGAAATTTTAGAACAGGAAACATCCTAGAAAGTCCTTACCCAGTGCAGGGAGTACAGCCAGGGGTATTATCCGCAGTAGCTTTGCAGCACAGCCAGTGCCCATTAAGGTATGCCGAGGGGTGATAGACAGTGAGACGTTTCTTGTTACACTGGCTAACTTTGGTGAGGATATCAATCCAGTCCTTGGCCTCGACACAGTTATTTGCTTGGATATACAGGGCCCTTTCAGGCTGGATCACTTGGAACATCTGAAAGGAATAGAGATGAAGAACAACAAATAGTCATTTAAAATCTAATGCTCATACAGAAAAGTCTGGGAGAGACTTTAGTCCTTTAGTCCACCAGGCTAGGCCCCAATCTCAGATCATGAAATTCCCAGTTCAAACCCCTGACACAAACCTTGTAATTGTGAAAACATGATCTGTAGCTACAGAGCTGAACTTGTTCGGGACTGTGCGTCAAATTCCTTCTGGGCCATGAAGTCCAGTACCAGAACCCCCTCCTCCCCTAGCAGCTTAATTTACCTCATGGATTGAGGTACCCTTCCACCTCAATAGGTCTCCAAGACAGTTGGAATAAATGATTTTTTTAAAAGCAAAAACAGCAGAATCATTTCTATAGCTACACACTGAACAGCAAGACTTATTTTTAATTTCGTATGTTAAATTTTTCACAACATTTCGTGTTACAGATTGATAAGAAAATCACATTTCTGTATAGGACTTATTTCCACTTGCCACTTAAAAGAAAAAAGTGCCAGAGGAATGTCTCCAAAGGAAGTATTCCACAGATACATGACAGAGCCTGTCATGTATCCTGCCAACATCACTGAGCAAAGCTTTCTTCCAGTACTAAGGAGATTTCTTCCAGTTTAAACAGCTTTTCCTCCAGTAGAAGAACTACGGTACTTAAGTTAGCTGGAAGCAGGCTCCTTTGGCTGAAGGAATTTCCTCCAGCCAAGGGTGGGATACATGCCCCTGTTCTTGGTTGTCACCTGCCTCATCTTGAAAGGCTGATGGAGAAGGGCCTTCAGCGAAGGTCTTACAGACCGGCATGTCCATGTAAGATAAGGTAGCCCTTCCTTGTGATGATGAAACAGGATAAACTCCATCTTTGTTTCTTCAAGGAAGGATAGCATACACAGATAACAGAACATCCAGTATTTTCTGTCTTGTACAATTACAGTGTGAGAGGCCTCACTCTATAAAAGTAATGTTTTATTTATAATATTTAATGTAATATTATACAGCTTCTGAACAGCAGTAGCAAATGTGGTCTTCAGAGAAGCACCATTTAATACCAAATACACATTCAGTCTTTATTCTCCTATAATTACAAGCTGTTTTGAAATGCCTTTTAAAAATTATAGATCTCCTTCCTAACATGGTATTAAAGGAGGCTAACAATGTTTTTTTTTAAAAAAAAAAACTACAACCACACAATATACAAACCACATACAGTCTCATATAAATGAGAAAATTTATAACAGCTTTGGTATTATGCATTTCACAAGAAAGGCCTACTCCTGTGCTTGGCCTTTATACAAATAATTCCATATCAATTACACCCCAGACAGGCTGTGCTCATATTGACTCAAGCTCCATGTGATAATGGCAGTCCTATTTCTTTAAGTCTGGGTATAAAGTAGGGGGGTATATGTGTGTGTGTGGGGGAGTGGTTTCTAAATTCCTAAAGCAAAAAGTGTGAGGGAAGCTGAACTCCCCTACCCCCATGTCTGCTTCACAACCTCTCTATGCAGACGCTTCTCTCTTCGTTGGGCACCCTTCCAGGACGCAAAGCCCAGCTGGAGGAAAAGTGATATCAGCTGAGACCCTGCAGAGATGGAAACTGCAGGCAGGGGCAGAGGGGAGAACTTAGAAACACCACCTTTCATGGGTCCCTTTTGCTTAAAAGTAAAAAAACAGACAGACAACCTAGGCTCTCCACTTCTGCTTTATATGCAGCTGCGTATTAAGCAAATTCCAGTACCATCCTAAGTAGTGTTACACCCTTCTGAGTCCACTGAAGTCAATGGGCTTAGAAGGGGGTAACTCTGCTCAGGATGGCACTGTCAGTCTACCACTAGTATGTGTGGTCTGAGGCTCAGTGGCTGGTCAAGCATTAATGTTTCTGCAGAATTTCTGATGATGCAGGTGCCAATTCCACATGCACATACATGACAAAAATCCAACCTGCATCATCTTTTTTGCAGCATGAGCAAGCATTAATGTTTCTGCAGAATTTCTGACGATGCAGGTGCCAATTCCGCACGCACATCCATGACAAAAATCCAACCTGCACCATCTTTTTTTGCAGCATGATCCCTTCAAAAATCCAAGTGCTGCAAGGAGACACTTTCGTAAACACTCTTAACAGGCACCCATACACCCAAGACCAAAATCTTCTGTATATTATGCAGCACGATGTTTCGGGTCTCTGAAGGTGAAATTTAAAGAAACAACTAATCTAAAATCTTGTAATGACGGATGATTACCGAGCAAGCATGGCTCAAAGTATGCTGCCCATAACTGAATTCGTATTCAGTCCCAACCCGATGGGCAGTAACGGCTGTGTCACAGTGCTATTTAGAACAGCTCCGTGGAGATCTATGAACTATCTATTTTTAAGAACTGATTACAAATGAGCAATAAAAATAGTTCTCAAAAATAACACAGAGGGAACCTGCTTACGTTTTTCATTTTGAATGACTCCTCTTCCAATTTTTCTACAGCCAGAATGTTTTCAATCGGAATGCTACATAGTGGATGATCACCTGCAGGAACCAGATCAGAAAGAAGATCATTTTAAATGCTCGTCCTGTGACCACTGGAGGCACTTAAGGAGGATGGCAATGAGGAAACGCAGTCCTCGCATTTGAAAGACACACTCGCTGGCAGTAATTTAAGTTGTTCCAAACACCATCAATACAATGACACAAAAAAACCCCTAAAGAAACTGTGTATTATATAGGGCTGAAACTATACCGAAAGAAATCCCTATTCTCTCTGTGTGTGTGTTTGTGTGTGTGTGTAATGTAGATGAATGTCATATGGCATAAAGATAGCATGTTATATCATTACTGCATTTTCTGTCATTAAAAATCTCAAAGTACTTATTTCATTGCCCCTTAAAGCATCTTTCTCTTTTGAAAAAATCAACATATCTAATTCTTTCTTTTTTTACTTTATTTATATAACTTTGTATATAAAAATGACAAAGAAACATGTATAAATCCATTACAGATTGAAAACTACTTATAACTATAATATACTCAACAGTACCAATATAACAACTTTCAATACATGAAATCTAAAAGAGAGATTATAATATAATATTTAAAATATCAAAAAGACATTAACTCTATAGTCCTTTGGGAGCATGCCACGATGAGTCATATATTCTAGTACTGGGAACCAATACTCAGCGAATAAGGTATAATCAGCATCAGAGCTGGTATGCTTCAAACTATCTGTTATTTTTTTCTGTAATAAAATATTCCCATATCCTCTCATGCCATAATAAAAGAGAAGGGGCCGTTCTACCCCTCCATTTGGCTACAATAACTCATTTAGCTGTCACTAATAGAATCAAGATCAAATACTTCCTAGCTAGTGCATTAGGAGAATCTTTCCAATAGTTTAAAGGCAACAACTCTGGAGAGAAAGTAAGTCTAAAACCTGTAATCTCTAATTCTGACCAAGGTCCTACTCCACAGAACTGTGTATGCATCATAAAGAACAGGAATTTTCTTTCAACCCCAGAGAATCCTTAGAGGTCTCATTACATGAAACATGATATTTGAATTGGGTTGGAGGGTTCCCCCCATCTGACTCCTGTTTCACATCTGACTAGGACTCTGCTTTAAAACAGTGTGTGGTGGCATAAAACCACAGAGCATGGCAGGATGGCAGGAGGGGCTTCAGCCCTAGAATCACAGAGTTGGATGGGACCTCCAGGGACATCTAGTCCAACCCCCTGCACAATGCAAGAAATTTACAAATACCTCCCCCCACACACCCAGTGACCCCTGCTCTATACTCAGAAGAGGGCAAAAAAACAAACAAAACCCCCCCCTCCAGGATCCCAGCCAAATTCCCTTCCACCCCATGCTGCTTCTAGACAGCAAAAAATAGTAGCATGAGGGCTGTTTGTCCCACTGCTGATTCCACAAATCTGCTGTGGAATTGACAGTGGGACAAACATGCCCCCCTTTCATTTTTTTGCGGTCAAAAGTGGCGTGGGAGGGAAGGCTGAAGCCCCTCTTGCCACTGCAATATGCTCCACAGATGAATTGGGTCCAATGTTCCCCCTAAGCTATGGAGTCTTGTGAGCAAAAATTCTACTTGGTGAGCTGCTGGAATTAAAGTTCTGAGCAAACGATTTGGCTACTGCATACATCAGTTTGCTCTGGAACCGTCCTTCCTGAGCGGAGACAGAAATGGGTGAGCCAGAGGCTAAAAAACTTTGAGCTAGCTCGCACTAACTCAGCTTAGAGGGAACACTGATTGGGTCCCCCCCAACTATTGTGAAGGAGAGTCCTGGTCATATGTGAAATGCAGAGTCCTAGTCAGACATGAAAAGTTCCAGACTTGTGTTTCATGTCTTGTGTAATGATACTCTAGGTTTATAGAAAAGTCCAGAACTTTTCCAAAAAACTTTTTTTAAAGCCCCTAAAACAGAGATGAGGGGATTGTACATGCCCAGACCTTGCCATTCCAGTGAAAAAATGCAGCCCGAGATCTAGCAAGATCATAGATGACATTCTAAGGAGGTTTAAAAAAAAGGACAAGGAGGGGCTGTGGTTCACTGGCAGAGCATCTACTTAGCATGCAGAAGGTCCCAGGTTCAATCCCCAGAATCTCTAGGTAAAAGGATCACACAGGAGGTGAAAGCAAAGATCTCAGCCTGAGACCCTGGAAAGCTGCTGCCAGTATCAGCAGACAATACTGACTTTGATGGACCAAGGGTCTGATTCAGTATAAGGCAGCTTCATGTGTAAGGAATGGCAGGAGGGTTGAAGGAGAAAGAGGATGAGGTGCAATGCTACCACAGTCATCAATCAGCTGGGTTTCAGACATGACTTTGGAAGGCTGAGGCAGAAAGTTCATCTCCCATACTTTGTGCTTCAAAGTCTTTTGCCACTGCTACTCACCTGCTGATGTGGGGGTATGCTGGGGCACTCTTTTCCATCCATCTCCATTCCCATTAGCAAGCAGGCCAGCAGCAACAAGCTCTGAAGTAGAAAGTGTGGGATGTACTTTCCACTTCAACCCTTCCCCTTCTCCATGGTCTGACCCGCAGGAGGGTAGGAAGGTAAAGAAAGAGGCCATTGGGGAGGGGGGAGACGTGAGAAACTAGGGCATGGATGGATGGGATTTCCCTCCATCCTGAATAGTGCAGGTTCCTCTCTTGTTCTTTTATATTAAGAAATAATACTGAAGAAACAGAGGATGTAATTCCATTACCTTTGCTTTTCTGATAAGTAAATTCATGGTTAGTGAGTCGAAACCATCTCTTTTTGAAGTTCTTCATACCAAATCGTTTCCTACCTTGTGCCCTCTTTATCATGAACCTATAACAAATGAGATCACAGCAGCATTACCCAACTGGAATTCTTAGCAATGAGCGTATAATGAGTCCTCAGTGTAGCCACGGTGGGGCTCCCCGGGGCTAAGCACCACCCTGAAACTGCCCCGCCCCATCTGCCCTCCACCCCGACTTATTCTTATTCCAACAATAAGAATGCATCTTGATAAAGTGTAAGGCTAACCTGTGCTAACTTAGGCCTGTTTTACACAGATGCATTCGTAACTTAGGCCTGTTTTATGAAGATGCATTGAAACATTCTATTCTATGAAATATTCTATGTCTCATGTCACCTGTATGAAAGTACCCTCATTTCAAACTTGTGTACACCTTCCAGAAGGCAAAGCTACCACATGGAAGGAGATGCTGACGTGGGTGCTGTTTCAAACATGGGATATGTACATTTGAGGTGGCATAATTAACAATTTGAGATATGCAGAAGACACCACATTATTGGCAGAAAATCATAAAGACTTGAAACAACTACTGATGAAGTTTAAAGGAGAAAGTGCCAAAGCAGGATTACAGCTGAACATCAAGAAGACAAAAACAACGAGGACGGAGGAATTACACAACTTTAAGGCAGACAATAAAGAAACTGCAGAACAAAGATTGAGTCCAATGGCACCTTTAAGACCAACAAAGTTAAGATTTTCAATTCCTTGGCTCACTTATCAACTAAAAGGTAGACTGAAACCAAGAAACCGGAAGGAGATTGAGATTTGGAAGGGCAGCCACAAAGGAACTAGAAAAGATCCTTCTAATTCCTCAAAAAGAATGTCACTGGAGACGAAGACCAAGATAACTCATGCTATGGTATTCCCCATTACTATGTATGAATGTGAAAGTCAGACAATGAAGAAAGGTGACAGGAAGAAAATTGATTCATTTCCAATGTAGTAGTGAAAGATAGTTTTACAGATATCATGGACTGCCATAGAGACGTGAGTGAGTTCTAGATCAAATCAAGCCTGAATTTTCCGTAGACGCTAAAACGACTAGCCTGAAGCTATTGTACTTTGATCACTTCATGAGAAGACGAGACAATAATGCTAGGGAAAGTTGAAGGCAGTAAGAAAAGAGGAAGACCCAACGTGAGGTGGACTGACTCAACAAAGGAAGCCATGGCCTTCAGTTGGCAAGACCTAACCAAGGCTATTAATAATTGGACATTTCAGAGATCATTAATTCATAGGGTGACCATAACTTAAAAGTGACTTGATGGCACATAACACAACACATGTTAACAACAACATCTAAATGGCTTTCACTCTCCATTTCTCGACAGAGGCTAAGCACGATAGGTAAAATCAGGGCTATTTTTGGCCAGGAACGCACAGGAACGGAGTTCCGGCTGGCTCCTGAGCTGGCCATGCCTAGCAGGAACTCATTAGCATAATAGGCCACAGCTAACAGCAGAAACTCATTAGGATTGGCCTGACATGCTACAGTTCCTGCTACAAAAAAAGCCCAGGGTTTTGACAGTAAACAGAATAAGAAGCAAAAGGTGGGTGTGGCTGGATGATCACACTTCTGGTAATATGGGGGCATGGCCTAATATGCTAATGAGCTGTGCTGTCAGGGTGTGGCCTAATAGGCTAATGAGTTTCTGCTGTTGGGTGTGGCCTGTTATGCTAATGAGTTCCTGCTGGGCTTTTTCTACAAAAAAAGCCCTCGGTAAAATGATAGCAACTCTCTACAGATATGCTCTTCAATCAGTTCTGAAAGAAATATTTAGCCATCAAATAATGGGTAATGAACCATGAACCTTGAATTTGTCCCCAGAATTTAATGATGATTCAAAAATGTAGAGTCTCTTTAAACGTTCAGTACAGAATTTCATTAATAGCTGTACAAGTGGGAGACAGCTTGTAAAAACTGAACAAAAACTGAAAAAGCACCACACCCACACTTGTTGTACAAGTAGATTTTCTCCAATAAGAAGTCATACTGAATTTTCAAGTGAAGCAGAGTTACAAAATGAAAGCAAACAACCCAAGGGGGGGGGGGATGAAAATTAATACAACATGGCAAAAAAAGTGTTCAGTGAAGAGCACAAATTTGATGGTGTTCTAACTTCCACTTTGAGGGTGGAACCACACAACAGGAAAAACTGCTATGGGGGAAGGGAAGGGAACATTTGCCCAATTTTCTTGCTGAAAACTGCTGCCTCCAACCTGGTTTTATCCTAACTGGGGAAAAGTTGGGAGTATCTGTAAATTTCCTCTAGTAGGGACCCAAGCAGTTTGGATGTAGTGATTTTGGTGGGAAAAGGGGAAAGATTTAAACACCTTTTCGCTTCCTCCCCGACCCCCAATTTCTACCTTACAAACCACAGCCCTGACGACCATATTCTGCAAAAAGAAAATCCATTACGAAAAAAGTCTAATGCTGTGTGCAGTTATTGCCCCCCCAGCCAGAATAACGAGACAGACAACGGTTTGGAATAAAACAAGGGCCACTTTATTAAAGATTTAACAGAAGATTGCAGCTATAACAGCTAAGCAAGCATGGAACAGGCAAGGCAGGCGTCACTCCCTGACCAACCCCCTTGCCCTTGAAGGGCAGGTCACCCAGCTCTGATCGTGAGCCAACTCTCTGGCTCGTGACCAGCAGCCCAGCAAACTGGTTGCCCTCTAGGAGCGCCTACCCCTGAAGCCTTCCAACCTGCAGGGAGGAGCCTGCCCTAGAAGGTTCCCAGCGGAGGTGATCACCATTCCCCACCCAGGACCCTGAAATCCGAAGGCAGTTCCTGATGACCCCCTGTTCCTTAACGGGATATGCCATAAGGTGCTCACCAGTTCTGTTTTATTGCTTGCACAAACCTGCCAAGTGATCAACCCATTTAAACATCATCCAACCCAAACATCCCTTCCGTCCACTGCCCTCAGTGTAAGGTAGGTGAAAACACCCCCAACCATTCAGCCAATCAGGGTGGAAGCAAAAAATTCCTACCTGGCCCCATTGGCGACCAGCATCAGCCTACACTAAGAACAGGGCAGGCAGGTGGGCGAGCATGCGGAGCAACAGCCAGGTGGGAGCGGAGCCTAGCCTGCTTTAAAAATACCCGGCTCCGCCCCCCCGCCATGTCAGGATGCATGGCATCCTGTTCCGTTGCTGTCCCCATTCTTTGGGGCAGCAAAATAGCCCCCGCTCACCAGTGGCGTTGCCAGGCGGGCGGAAGCTCCATACTCCAATCACCCCAAACTTTCTGACAGTGCAGTCCTATGCAGAGTTACACCCTTCTAAGTTTCTGGACTTCAATGGACTAGTCTTAAAAGAATGTAACATTGCTTAGTATGTCACCTGTCAGAATATCCTTTAAATGGAAGGTTCTGCTTTAGCTGTGGTCCATCGTCCTTCAGGGGAAGGAGAGCTATGAAAACACATACACAGAGTGGTGTGGAATATGGTCTCAAAAGATTCTGAACATAAGAGAGCCCTGCTGGATCAGAACAGTGGTCCATCTAGTCCAGCAACCTGTCTCATTCAGTGGCCAACCAGTTCCTCTGGACAGCCAGCAACAGGGTATAGAGGCCGAGGCCTACCCCTGATATTGCCTCCTGGCTCTGGGATTCAGAGGATTAGTGCCTCTGAATGTGGAGGTTCCCCTCAGTCACCATGGCTGGTAGCCATTGATAGACTTATCCTCCATGGATCTATCTAATCCCTTTTTAAAGCTGTTTATTCCTGTGGCCATCACTACATCCTCTGGCAGCAAATTCCACATTTTAAATTACTGTCTGCATAGAATAGTATTTTCTTTTGTCTGTCCTGAACCTACTACCCATCAGCTTTGTTGGATGCCCTCAAGTTCTAGTATTTTGGGAGAGGGAGAAAAATTTCTCTGTCAACTCTCTCTACCCCATGCATAATTTTATAAATTTCTGTCATGTCCCATCTTTGTTGTCTATTTTCTAAACTGAAAAGTCCTGGATTCTTCAGTCTTTCCTTATAGGGAAGGTGCTCCAACCCCGAATCATCTTGGTTGCCCTCCTCTGTATTTTTTCCAGCTCTGTGATGTCCTTTTGGAGATACAGTGATGAGAACTGTACACAGTATTCCAAATGAGGCTGCACCATAGATCTATAGAGGGGCATCACAATATCAGCTGTTTTATTCTCAATCCCTTTCCGAACAGAGAGTTTGCCTTTTTCACTGCTGCAGCACACTGGGTTGACCCTTTCATTAAGCTATCCACTACAACCCCAAGATCTTTCCCCCTCTCAGTCTCAGCAAATTCAGATCCCATTATCTTATACTTGAAGTTGCAATTTGTTGTCCCAGTGTTTACACTTACCAGCACTGCATTTCATTGGCCACATTGCCGCCCACTCACTCAGTTTGTGGAAGTCCTCTTGAGCTCTTCACAGTCAGCCTTGGTTTTCACCATCCTGAATAATTATGGGTCATCTGCAAACTCGGTCACTACACTACTTACCCCTAGTTCCAGTACATTTATGAATAAATTAAATAGTACCAGCCCCAATATCAATCCTTGGGGGACCCCCATTTCTTCCCTCCATTGTGAGAACTGTCCATTGATTCCTCTTTGCTTCCTGTCACTTAATCACTTTTTAGTCCATTAGAGAACCATCCACTTATCCCATGACTGCTAAATTTACTCAAGAGTCTTTGATGAGGTAGCTTGTCAAAAGCGTTTTGAAAGTCCAAGTAGATCATGTCTACCGGGGTCACCATTGTCTACATGCTTGTTCACTATCTCAAAGAACTCCAAAAGTTTGGTGAGACAGGACTTCCCTTGGCAGAAGTCATGTAGATTTTCCCTCAGCAGGCTTTGACCCACTATGTGCCTAACAAGTCTATCTTTGATTACAGTTTCTACTACTTTGCCTGGGACAGACATTAGGCTGACTGGCCTGTAATTTCCTGGTTCCCTTCTGGATCCCTTTTTAAAAATTGGTGTCACATTTGCTACTCTCCAGTCTTCTTGTACAGTGTCTGAATTTAGTGATAGGTAACGTATACGGGTTAGTAGGTCAACTATCTTACAACTGAGTTCCTGAAGAACTTGCCATCAGGACCTGGAGACTTATTGATTTTTAATCCCCCCAGAAAGTCTAGAACTTAATCTCTGGTCACTTCAATTTGGTTCAGTTCTTCAGACTCCTTTCCCGAAAATAGGGGATGTGGCATGGGTACGTGCCCCACACTTTCCACAGTGAACACAGAAGCAAAGACGTCATTGAGCTTCCCTGCCATCTCCCCATCTTTCTTTAAGCAAGCCCTTTATTCCTTTGTCATCCAAAGGCTCCACTGCTTCTCTAGCTGGTTTTCCTGCTCTGAATATATTTTTAAAAAATGTTTATTGTTTTTCTTGATGCTTTATTTATTTATTTATTTATTTATTTATACATTAGATTTCTATACCGCTCCAAACCCCGAAGGGTCTCTGAGCGGTTTACACAGTTCCGAATCATCCCTAACTAAGGCCACATGTTTACAGGGGTCGGGGCTACTTACTGGCACCCAGGTGGCAGGGCTTTAAGCAACCCGCTCCTCAAAATCTCTTTTTGCATGCCTAATTATTGACTTACATTTCTTTTGCCAGAGCCTGTGGTCCCTCCTGTTCAGTTCACTGGGGCATACCTTCTACTTTTTTTAAAAAAGGGACACAGGGAAGAAGAGCAACTCATAGGTAAGTTATGCACAGCAGGTAAAGGATTTCGAGTACTATGAATCGTGCCCAGAAAGCTACCAGAAACCAGTAGAGCACCGAGGTAGTGAACTCTCTTGGGATACTGATTGATCCAAAGGCCTTTCTAGAAGCATCCCCCAATGAAATTAGCTCCAAATCAATGTTAAAGTCTGTAAGGAATGGAGGTTGTTTAGGCTTATGTTTTGTTGGCTCTGCTGGTGGGAGAGGGTTATAAGTTTAGCAGAACCCAGCCTTGCAAGTCACTGGAAGCTATCTGCTCGCAGCATAACTACTTTCAGCTGCAAGATTTCGTTATTGTGGAGAATCATCCTTGGAAACCTCCCTAATCTTTTCAGGAGCCCAGAGGGTTAATTAGGGAGTTGAATTCTTATCAGCCAGCTGCCTTCACGGCAGGGGAATGGACATAAGAAAAGGGAGCCACTGTTGTTACTCACTCACTCATTAGGCTTTGCAGGGTGGGACCGGCTACACTCTGCATTGAAACGATGAACTGCGACTGAGATGGAACTAACCCCCATTCTCTTCAACCTGATAATGGACATCTTAGGAACTGGCCTCACAGAAGTGAGTTATTGTTTCTATTGGTCCAGTGACCTGGCCTTTTACTGTTGTTGTTGTTTTGCCGCTGCTTGTCGTTATTGGATGTTTTCTGCTTTGCATACATTCCTTCCAGTTCAATTGATTTTACTGAATTAAACCTGGTAGTCCTTTTTGAAATCTTGTGTCCAGGATTTATTTTGCAGAGTGAATGCGTTTACTCATATAAACGAAACCCAAGGTCCTCCAGACCAGACAAAGTCACACAGCCAGTAGACCCAGAACTGGTGAAGGGCATAGAACATAGCCCTGTGTAGATTTCTGGGTTAAAGGAGATCCAAGAACTGGAAGCTAGCCTGCGGAAGAGGTAAAGTAGCCTAAGAGGAACTAGAATGTTCACATTAAAAGTATGTAGAGGATTTCTGGAGAAAGCAGAAACGTGCCTATTGTCCTCTTTCTGGTGGTTCCACCTAAATGCTTGATAATAGCTGTGGATACAGTCCTACATTTCTGCGTTGTTTTTAACATCTCCCATATCTTCCCCATGCAACTGAAGCATAGTCATAAACAATGCTCCCTCTAAACTGTGGAGTCTTGTGAGCAAAAATTCTACTTTGTGAGCTACTGGCATTAAAGTTGTGAGTTAACAATTTGGCTACTGCATAAATTAGTTTGCTCTGGAGCCATCCCTCCAAAGCGAAGCCAAAAATGTGTGAGCCGGAGGCTAAAAAACTGTGAGCTAGCTCACACTAACTCAGCTAAGAGGAAACACTTGTCATAAACAATTTTTTTTTAAGAAAAAAAATTCCTGACAGCTAAAAACACTTAAAATTCCAATAACTGGCTAAAGCCAATTTCCCTGTTACAGAAAAAAGTTTGAATCAAAGCTATGTTTAGATTTTCTCAAAGATACTACATGAATGTCCTTGGGAGAAACAAAGGAATGGAAGCAGCAAGTGGTGTCCCTCCACCCCACTTCCTCTTTTGAAAGGAACCAGATAGGCAAGAAGCCATTTGCTGAGTGTCTCCAGCCCACTCAGTGCCAGCGTTGCAACATCAAGCAGCAAGACCACAAATATCTCACACATCACATATCAATGTACTCGACTGACGGTCTAGTGTAGGAGAATCACTCGCCCTTGGAGTGGATGGAGAAAGCGTCTGAACCGTTGGCGAAGGGGAGGCACACAGAAACCGCACTAACCACTCAAGCAATTATTCTACAAGGGACCCAAAATACAGCTGCGTCAATCACCTCCCCACTTCAATGAACCCAGCCTCTTAACCCTGAGAATGATGTAACTGCTAAAAACTGGGATTTAAAATACGTGGTGCACCATTTGAATGGTGTTTTAAGAATTTGGAACTGAATGTTAACGACACTTAGATGGGGGCACCTGCTTGAACAGCAAACACAGACACGAACACTTTTTTTGCATGCTCATTAAGTTGAAGGAGAACCGCAATATCAAAACTTCCCCATCTGTTTTTCCAGATGCGCGGCATGAATATTAACTATAGCTTAAAACTTCCTCTCCCCAAAGCCAAAGGAAACATGACCCTCCCCTGGATAAGAAGGGAGTGTACCCCACTGGCAGGTCACTGTGGCAAAGAACCGGTTGCCCTTGCCCTCTTACCTGCACGAACTATTATCATCAACTTTCTTTAATGTTAGTTTAAGAGTCCTTGACACAGCAGGCCAAGCAAGAAGAGACAGAAAAAAATCAGACAGGAGCAAAAGAAAGACAGATGCTTAATGAGACATTTAAGAGTTAGAGGGGAGGGTTGCAAAATTATAAAAATGCACTTTTAAAAGCAAAAGAAAGACAATACAGACAATTTTTAAAAAGAACAACCAACTCCTATTCATATTATTACGGTTAGAAGCAGGCAGAGTTTCAACCATGAACCAATTTTATTCATAGTTTTGTAACTGGCCAATGAAAGCCAGTGTCCTTTACTTTGAATTGTGGTCACATCCCCTAGAATTGCTACAGCCTTTCCCTGTCCAGTAGCAACTGTTAAAACTATACTTTCTATATGTCATCTTCCAAGTGATTAATTAATGCATGTTAAATAGCATTTCTCAGAGACTGGACCATTTACTCTTTTTTGCCTTGGCAACCTTCTGATAGATACTCACCCTTCTTTAAGTAGTATTGGTTGCTCTATGCTCTTGTGATCTCTTCTTCCAGAGGATGAAATCAATTCTAAGAACTTGGGAAAAGATAATGTATAAGTATGAAACAGGGGGTTAAACTCACATGATCATTACTTGATGGAAGAACGGATAAAGCACCAAGGAAATGCAAGCAGGCTTTAAAAATTTTAAGTGCTTACCCACTAGGAGAAGAAAAATAACACCGAAAGGTTTATATCCAAGTAAATAAAACCTAAACTTCCGTGTTCAGATTAAATGAGATAAAGGACTTATGTGGGGCACCACATGTCTTTGACCCATAAACCACACCTACTGCTCTGCCAACATTCACAAATAAAGGCACATGAAAATATAACTCGGCCCCTCCCCTGACTCTAGACCTTTTAGATATTATTTTTGCCGCTGTTCAAGCAACTGATCCTATTTGCTGGTCAAGGAATACCGGAAAGCCTTCACCACACACAAGCTATCGCCATGGCGTGGGGAAGGCAGGGAGGCATGAATTCTTGGGGTGGCACCTTGCCTGCATGGAACCAATCCACAAGGTCACAGCAACCCACATGAGTGCAAAGTCCTTCCACGTTCTCTAAGTCGTGCGGGAACAACGACAGGAATTGCACCAGTAAAAGGCACTCTGTGTTCCCTTCCTCTCTTTTCCTTTCCTTTAATCTACAGTTACCCCAAATAGGATGGCCTTTCTTGCTCTTCAGCCCAGCAAATTGCTGAAATGGGAAAACGAGTTCTGAACAAATACACCCACACCCTTAAGGAACTGCTCAATAAATAACATCACAGTAAACAACCCATACTGCTTGTTTCATCTCTGAAGGAGGAGGACGAGGAGGAAAAAAGCTCCGAAGCATATTTTGATTTTAGTTCGGATCCAGCAATTTGCTTACGTGTGGATTCCAGATCTTCCCCAACCTTCCCTCCTTTCACCAGTCTCTTCTGTCCCTAGGAAATCTGATTCCTGGGATTCAGGGACTTGCCAGAGGAAATCTGATTCCTGGGATTCAGGGACCTGCATGGAATAAAAGCCATGCAGGTTGTTGGGCTGCAGTGAGGAGATAAAATTGCTGACTTCTGCCTGTGCCGCAAGTGGAGTACTGCTGCTGTAAGAGGCAGAAACTCTGCCCTGCAGCCACTGCCCTGCAAGGCTTTCATTCCGCATGGGCCCCCAAGAACCAACATTCCTGAGGTAAGAAGTGGCTGTTGTGGGGAGGGGAAGATTGGTGAAGATCTATAACTGCTAGGGCCTTCCAACGACAGCTTACTGGAGCCGGCTCATTTATGTCTCTTGTTTTTAATAGCCTTTGTTGTTAGCTACTCATCAGCATGCTTCATTTTTTTAACTTTACAACTGGAAGCTAGAAAGGAGCGATCCCCAAGTTGGCAGATTCCAATCTCATTTGCGCTACAAGCTCACAAGACGCAGCATGATGGTGAAATTGTCCTCCCCGACAAGGCTACTGTAAAGAGGACTTGAGATAATGTATCTGAAGTGCTTTGAATACTGAAAGTGCAGTATAAATGTTTATTCAGAATAAATGTTATTCAGAAGACAGAAATGCAAATAATGAATGTATTGAAACAGCTGACATTGTTAGGCTCAGAGAGTGCACAAAACATAGTTATTACTTACATTTTTTACTGCATCTGCATACTTCTGCTCATTAAAGTTGTCATAAAATGAAGCCATATAAGATTCCTTGAAACTGGCCTGAAATGCAACCACCGATATGTACTTATGTTGAAACATGGCAATTTATACAGAAGGCCAGAATACCGACGTCAGCAGAAAATTAAGACTCACTCATTCATGAACACATATTTCTTGATGCTAAAAAGAACCTAAAAGCTGTTTCCGTGTAGCTTAAATTGCAATGGTATTCACAATAGGTTCACATGCCAAGCCCACAAATCAAGGTATTTCCTTTTAAATCCTGGATATAGTTCAAGCTCTCTTTTCTCAAACACAGCCATTCATTCTAAACTGACAATAAGAGCAAAGGGAGATGACGGTTACAGTCCACAAGTAAATTTATGGCCAAATTCAGAACTCATTCTCATAACCAATGTGTGTGGGTGTGAGTGACCTTTTCCTTAGGAAGGTTGCAGCTTTCTCATAACAAATATACTTCTTTAGGGCTCTACCACATTAGGAACACTAGTGTCCAATCCCTCATATAATCTGAATACAATATAAGCAAACTCCAGTTGTGTCTCTTTACAGAAAATGGTTATGTGAACCGGTTCTCAAGCATTTCTTTTACTAGTTCAGTGAACCGCTGGATCACATATCATCTATATATCTAATTCTGAACTGGGCCCAAGAATGCAGATCAAAAACTCCATACAATAAGGCCATGGAGAGGCAGGGGAGCCCCCAGGTTTGCAGAAATATCCTATTTTTTTAAATCAAGGATGGAATAAAATATAATTTTAAAAGTTTTAAAATGCAGAGATCTTGGCAGCTGTGTTGGATTGCCTAGGCAACTATGGATGTTTAGATAATCCAAAATGTCTACCATGGTTTTTAGAAACTGGAGATGTGGGGGGTGAGGGAGTCAGCAGGCAGGAAAGACAAAAAGGGGTAAAGTTAGAGTAGTGGGAGGGAGGGAATAAAGAAAAATGAAGTCAAAGGGGAGGGAAGGAAGGAAGAAGGGGACAGGGGAAAGCTGCAGGGGCTGTGAGGGGTAGGGTTGCCAGTTCTGGCATGTGAAATTCCTGGAGACCTTGGGGGGGGGTGCCTGGAGAGACTGGCAGAGTCTGAAAAAAAAAGAGTGTTCAGGGGGTATGTGATGCCACAGAGTCTACCCTCATTTCCTTCAGAGGAACTGGTCTCTGTAGTCTGGATATCAAATGAACTCCAGGCACCGTTTTGAGTTTGATAGCCATATCTGAGGGGGAGGAAAGGAGGGAAAGCAGGGGAGGAAGACCAGATTCCCCCTCATGGGTTTCCTGCTTGTACTTTCTGAATATGTGAACTATCAGCCTTGTGCCTACCTCTAAAACTAAAAAATTATTTTTAAAAATGTAATATGCAGTTTAAAATCATTGTAAATATACACAGTTTTAAAGGAATTATGATTCACTGTGTTCACTTCAGCTGTAATCTGTCTTCCTCCTGCCCAGTACAAGAGCAGATACTCTAAACTCATAGATAAGGTTCAGCCCAGAAGAGTGGTTAGTCTTGCTATCCTCCGTACTCTGATTTTTCTCCCGGTATGATTTTCCCTTACAAAGTCCTCTTCAAGTTTCCTCTCCTAAAATATACACTTACTATTTTTGTTGAAGATCTAGTTAGCTTTAAGCTTCACAGTCAAATATGTCCCTATGACATGGGGTCTTGAATAGCACTTCAAGAGCACAGTCCTCCCTTAAGCAAGGGCATCCGCTAGGAAGGATTGCTATAATAGAACAACAGATCCTTCTACTCCTCCCTCCCACCAGTCCATGGATATGAATTCTGGAGGCCGTGTAGCTTAAACAAGCAGAGGGCTAGATGCTATTTAGGAGTCATACACAGGCCTTCCATTCCACACAATACAACAGTGATGTATAGTGGTTAGAGCATCGTATTTGGGCTGAGGAGGTTTGGGTTTAAATTCCTACACAGCCATAAACCTCATTATGATCCTTGGGCAAGTCAGCCAAGCCTACCACACAGCATTGTTGTGAAGATGTAGTGGAGAAGGAAAGAACCACTGTCCTAAACGCCTTGTAAAATATAATAGCTATAATAAATGGCAGCGCAGTGCCTGCATGCAAATGGGGAGGAGGCTGTTTACCTACGGAGATGCCTCAGGGCACTGTGTTTATGGACAGAAAGACTGTGCCCTGGTGCTCAACGATCACACTCAATTTAAAATGCACTAAG